CTCTAACTAGAAGCTTTATCAAAAAGGAAAGTTTTTTGAGGATCAGGAGCCGTCATTCATTGCTCCGTGTTGTGTTCAGGTGTCAGACCTGGTGATGATCCTGAACCAGCGGAGGGCGATCGACGCCTTTACCAAGGGCGGCAACCTGACGCTGGGCGGGAACTGCACCGTCGCCGTGGGACCTATGGGCAGGTGAGATCCTGCCGCCGTCAACGCCTGTTAATTACCTCTAATGTTTACAGGAGGTTTAAATTATAGCTTTGCCTCTAATAAGCTGTCATCTGATGAGACGTTCGATGACAGTTTGTGTTTTGGGGCTGGAAGCTGATTTAGATTTCTGTCGGTGGGATGGTTGTAGAATCAGTCTCAGGGCGGCTGACGGGTTGGAACACGAGGTTCTGGCTGCTGCTGGGTTTGTGGGCGGAGCCTGATGTCTGACTGAGCAGATTTTTCTCTAATTAAGCTGCAGACAGACGACTAAATTAGACCTGAATTTGATTGACTTTGGTTTTATAGCTTCTTATTAAACAAAACAAATTAAATAATGAAGAATTTCACTGTTAAATAACCTGAACTGCTCGTCTGCCATCTTGGTTCCTTCCTCTCTGTTTTTATGCCATTTTGCTGCAGCTTCTTTCTCTTTCCTGTCGTTCTTTTAAATGTTGATTTAGTCTTTTTGCTAAAATCTTCAGCATTTCATAGCAGCTTTTTCATCATGATCTTCTGATGCGTTCAGAAGCAGCAGCTGCTGGAGTTGGAAGAATTGAACTTTTGATGCAGCACTGCTGATGCAGAGCGCTATGATCACTATGGAAGAAAAACACTCTCATTGGAATCTGCCTTTTTTTTGTACACCTAATTTTAAACAGTGAATTTTTTTTACACATTGAACTCCCTACATTTAATTTTTATCTGGTAAAAATTTTCCTGCAACTAAATTAGACTCCAAATGTGTTGACCTTTCGGTGAGGCAAAGCAATCCACGATTGATGCAGTCCAGCAGCTTCTAGCCGATGAAATTTGCTAGAAGGTAGAAGAGATTCTAGTTTCTCAAAAGTTTGCCGCCGGGCCGGCCACTTTTTCTGGATCAAACCAAGAGCCTTGGCAGACGGGGGATGCCGCACTATAATGGCTGTCTAGAAGGGGTGTAAATAATAATCGTTTTGTATCGACGATCTGATGCATCGATAGTCCGCAAGAGAATCGATTCATGTTTTTTTTTTTTTTTT